CATACAATTACTGTTGCATTATTATTACTTTTCTTATTCTTACCTGAGGGCTATTAATAGCTCCACCACAAAGAATAACTTCACCTTTTGGTGCAATAAAAGCCTCACGCACTGTACCATTGCAAAAGTATCTTATACCGATCGCAATGTTTTCTTTTTCATTCTCTTCGTCCCAAATAACCTCTAGTACGTGAGAATATGATCTAATATCTACGGCAACAACTTTCCCAAATTCATATGGTCCTGAATCTGAATGTAATTCGACTTTTTTTAACGCATCTTTTAGATAGCTTTCAGCCAAAGAACATCTTTTTCCTTCTTGGTTTGTAAACTATAAATGCAATTCAATTAGCATGTTTTAATCTTGGTAATGTAATTTAGAAAACTATATTATTATTTCAGAAACCTGGAATGATCCAACTCCATTTTGTCTTTCACCGTTGAAATCATCATTATAAGGAATTCCAAGGTTTTTCGCAGCATCAATCACACCTGACATAACATCGTAGATCCCATTTTGACAATCTTGCACATGAAATAAACCATTAAATCCATGTAATTGTTTAAATTTCTCATCCGGGTTTTCTCGTGCATTATTTTCCATTGCTTTGAACGCTTTTTTTTCAAATAAATAAATAAATAAATAAATAAATAAATATAATGTATATTCCCGAGTAATTTGAACAAATTAAAGTAGTGAAATTATACCTTCCAAACAATGTTCCCAATCCCAAATTTTGTATTCAGGACCTTGAGCTGCCCAATCATTGTACTCTTTCGACTGACCTCGCCTAAATAAAATCAGATATATTAAAAGATATCAAATTCACATGACTAGAATGAATAAATAAATTTACGAAACTTACAAGTAAATCATTGCATTCAAAGAGCTACATCCTCCCCAAACCCTTCCACGTGGATAAGGAATCTTATTTCTCATTATTTCTTTAGTAGGATTTAAACAGCTTTGCACTTTTTGTTCCTGAGTAGCATATCCCCAATCATGGTCATTCAGTTCCAAGGCCGCCTACATTACAAAAATAACGCGAGAAATCTAAATAAAAACGTGATTCAATAAAAAAAATCCTGGCGAAAGACGAATTGTCACCTTAGTCCAAGTACATGGCAAACTAATTAAACCATTGGAATGAACATCAGGCCCTCCAGCTTCCAATACTAGAATATTAATATTCGGAATGCCATGAATCAATTCTCTGGCAAGCACACATCCCGCAGTACCAGCTCCCACGATAATAAAATCAAAAATTTCTTTAGTGTTGAATTTTGCGTGTTTATCATGATCACAAATATTTTTCATCCAAAGTTCTCGAATTTTTGCATCCCTTTTTAATTCTTCTTGAGTTTTTTCAGTTACGATCGGATAATTGGTATTCATACTTATTGTCAATTAATCAAGATACGTACTGTAATAACTTTGTGATTTAATATTTACTGTTACAGATATTTAAATATTTCCGTTCGAACGGATCATGCATATAATCAGGGTGTGCCTCATGACAAAAGCAGAAGTTGAGCGCCATATATAGAGTGACTGATCCTGTTTCTGCAATAAGTTACGGTCCGACTGATAAGTGGTAATTGATATCGTACGTATCAGTGTTGGTCATTTTAAGTCATATCCAGTTTTATATAACCAAGATGGTAAGGTAACAACCTATAATTAGCATATAGGTCATATACTTGGGATTTGGGACGGCTTAAGATAAAACTAGTGTGTTAAGCCCGTCATTAAATGACGGGAACGTAACACTTATTCAACCTGTCATTATTCGATGGTGGGTATAAACTTCTAATTACACACTAACGTTAACATAATCGTATTGGCGAAAATTTTTTGATGGGAATATTGTGATCATTAAAATTAAATGATACAATAGAGCTGACTCGATGAATTGTATATTCGAATATTCATTAAATGTTCGAATAAAATTATTCA